CTCCTCCAGGCCCTGCCGCCATCTTGTTCTGCTCCCCTTGGGCCAGAGCCATGGAGTCGGCCACCAGGGACTGAACTCAGGGAGACTCTGTCTCTAAATAAAATGCAAAATAGGGCTGGGGACGGGGCTCAGTGTTCAGTGCCCCTGAGTTCAAATTCCTGGTCCCCAAGAAAAAAGTGATCCGTGAAAAATGTTGAAATACCTGGCCAGAACCTACTTTTAGGTGCTTTTACATTTGGGCTCTTATTTGCCAATAAATGTTTCTTGTTGTGGTTGAGCTGGTGGCTGCTTTGGTCCCTGGGATCATCCACATAAATTCATCAGACACCTTGGTTCCTGGACGATTGATTCCTGCTACTTTGCTGATGGAGACGTTTTACCAAAGGAGCCTCGATGCTGCTTCTTTATTTGAACTCGCGACGGCCCTTTGGGGTAAAACAGCATGAGCCCGGGCTTCAGGACAGGACGTTAAGCCTTGGCTGTTGAAAACCTGTGATCCTCCAGCCTCAGCCTCCTGAGCTGCCGGGATGACAGGCAGGTGCCTAGCAAACCTTCATCCTTTATAAAATCAGTCTGTGGCTTTCATTTATAGCAACAGAAAACGGATTCAGGCTCATTGCTGATACCAACACCCCAATCCTCATCTGCAAGCAAAGCTGACGTCAGAAGGTTACACCTTCTTGCAAATTCACCCATTTGAATCGGCCAGAGCTTCCCCAATATCATGCACAATCCTTCTAAAAATCGATACAGGTTGCATTCAGTTGTCCTGTGTTTTACCCATTTCTGATGCATCTCGAGTTGATCCTCCCTCCATTGAAGTTCTCTGCCCCCCCCCGCCCCCCGAATTCCATCTGTCTGCACTTTTCTGTAACTTTACTCAAGATGGAAAGGTCGCACCCTGAACTGCAAGGGGGACACACAGCCCTGAGGTCCGGGCCACCTTCCGAGCTGAACCAAGAGAACGCGGGCTTTGGGCACTTAGTCACTGAGCCCCATTCCCAGCCCTTTTTATTCCTGAATTTAGAGACAGGGTCTCGCTGAGTTGCTTAGGGCCTTGCTAAGTGGCTGAGGCTGCCTTTGAACTGGTGATCCTCCTGCCTCAGCCTCCCGAGCCGCTGGGAGGACAGGCCTGTGCCAACACGCCCAGCAGGACCTCACTTTTAAAAGTTACTTATGGAGCACGTAGTATGCACCTGGTGGATACAATTCTAAAAAGTGCTTTTCCCCATGCAACCGAACCCAGGGCAATTGTGCACCCATAAATGCACCTATAAACTGGGGGGGGTGTTATTTGCTGCACCCTACACCGTGAGTTCCCACAAATATTTTATTCCAATCCTCCCACAAGGGCTGCATTTGAAAATGGGCAACCCAGCAGCACCCCGTCCGACGGCCAAACTCTGGATAAAGTCATTCCGTATATCGGAGGGACTCAGACCATAGCTCTGCTTTCCATAAACAGAGATCTCTTAGGATCCCTGGGACTCCTGTCTCCGTCCCGAGCTCTTATGAAGGAGACCACCTGGTTTATTCTGCAGCCCTGCAGAGGGGTGGACGGACACATGGCCATGTGTGCTGTGCATGGTGACTGCACGTCAGGGGCACTGAGCTCACGCCGTCTCCCCCGAGCATCGTCACGGATGCACCCCTTCTTTTCTTCTCTGCCGAGCCTCTGCACGCAGCACTGGTCCAGCCCTCCGCAGAGCAGACAGGATGTTGCAATCAAAGGAAAGCAACCCTGAGACACGACCACCAACAGGGGCCCAGCCACAGATTCCAAGCCACTGACCACTGAACCCACGAAGTCTCCGGTACTAGCCCCCAAAAGACCAAAGGCCGACACTGTGTTCTCTGATCGGCGGACGGACGCTGATTCCCAATAACGGGGAGGGTCCAGGGAGGGACAGAGGTGCTTCGGATCAGGCAGAGGGGAGTGAACGGACGGACGGGAGGCTGTGGGGCAGGAAGGACAGCGGAATGAATGGCCGCCCTGGTCCTCAGTAGCTCGCCGATCCCACGTCCGCTTTCCTCTGCCCAGAAAAAAATATCTCTTTTTTTAAGAAACCGCCTTCCCCGCGCGCTTTACGGCAGGACACCTCAGAATCTGCAGGAGTCTCGTGAGTCAGGAAGAGAGGCCCTCCTTACGAATCTAAACGTGCTCTCCAGACACACAGAAGGGATTTATCTTTTGTGCAAACAAGAGAAAACACAATGACCTCTTCCATCACAGCCTGCAACAGAGCTCAGAGGGAAAAACACTCTCCAAATCGTCCAGAGAAGAAGATGTTTCCCCCGTTTACCATTGGTGCCACTCCTGTTCTTTTGTGGAGTCGTCCTGTTCTTTATGCACGATCATCCTTTCCCAGCTGAGCATGTATCTCTGCTGCTGGCCCCTGTTCTTTGGCTGAATCATCTGTTCTCTGGGCTAGAGGAGGAAGCTACCCACCTGCCTACTCCGAAGTCTTCCAAGTGGACAAGCAAAAGACCTGGAGGTTTTAGACATCGCCCAGGTTCATCAGGGGAGGCAGGAAGAAAAGAGGACTCTAGAGCGTGGGTGTGTTTGTATACCTTCACGTGCATGGACCAGAAAACGAGTTCTAGGATACAGAATCATGACTCACGGGTGCAGCCAAGGCGTGTCGCCCAGAGGGGACCCTGTGGCTTTGCCGGAGGGGCTCACGGGGACAGAGCCAGCTGCCAGCCCTCTGGGGCCAAAGCCTGCCCCTGATCTGTCTCTGCTCGTGACAAGGCTCTGCTCATGTTTAATTGTTGATAGAAGGAGGGATGCCGGGGGCTCATGCTTTGGCCTCCACTCACCCACAGCCCCAGCTCCACCAGGGCACGTAGCAGGCGCCCAGAGCCACCCGACGCCCTGTGTCTACTGTCCCCCTTGCAGAATTTTCTTTTTTGCAAACAAAAACAGACGCCCCCGGCCACCCACGGCGTCCGGGTCCCAGGGAGAAACTGAGAAGGGAGAAGAGGCAGGCGGCCGCGGAGGCGCACGTACCCACGCTCCAGTCCATCTCCTCCACGCCGTCCCCGTAGGGCCCGTGCCGACTCTTTCTGGCGAACTCCTTGGAGGAGAAGTGGGCCGTGTGCACGTGGATGAAAGACAGGAAGAGCAGGAACGGAGTGTCGGCGTGCCTGCGAGAGCCAGAGAGAGAGAGGGAGAGACAGAGAGAGTCAGGGACCATAGGGGACATCCCCCATCATTCTGATTAGGACCAGTGCCCTGTCCTGAGCGGCTCTCCTCCTCCAGGCCCTGCCACCATATTGTGAAATGATTGGGTTGTGAGAGGTGTAGACTAGAAGTGGATTAATCCACTTGAATGGACTTACTGGGTGTAGACTAATAGTGGATTAATCCACTTGGATGGACTCACTCGGTGTAGACTAGAAGTGGATTAATCCACTTGGATGGACTCACTGGGT